TGATGCATGCTCAATAATCAATAATCTGAACAATGAAATATCCTGATACATGCTCAATAATCAATAATCTGAACAATGAAATGTTCAGGATGAGAAGAACCGATTCCACTCGCTAAAAAACAAACAAAGAAGAAATACTAAAGCATGCAATAAGGATACAAAGTAAAGTACCAAAAGTGAAAAAGAAATATATTTACAAGGTACTAGAGAATCATACTAAATAACCACATGGTAAAATACAACGATGCAAGCAGGATGCATTAAGTAGTTCACAGGTAGTAACAAGCTTAAATGCACATGCTACATATTGCACACAAACTACACGGGTGGTGAGGAACGCTGAGATGAGGTGCGATGCTCAGGTGGCGACATGATACAGCCACATAGTGCAGCAACAGGAAACAGTTGTCAGTGGCTTCACTTATTGTCAGTTGTTCAGTATTTATTAAGAGTTCAGTGATCTAACAGCTTGTGGATTCTGTCTGAGTTTTTTCGTGCACGATGGCAGACTCCTGTATCGTCTGCCTGAGGGTAGTAGCTGGAAGAGTCCTTGTGCTGGGTGGGTGTGGTCCTTCATGATGCTGTGCTTTACACAGACATCATGTGCTAGTCGTCCTGGATGGAGACTGCTACCAGTGACGTCCTCTACTGTTTGCACCGTGACAGGCATGAAAAGAATTACAGACAGGATTTTTGAAGGTTTTATTTCAAACACAGTGCAGAACTGAACAGTAAAGAAAACTGAGGCCCTGAAATATTAAAAAAGAAAGTAAAAGCATACAGTGTGTGAGGCATATACAGAAACTAATCAAATAAATTTAAGGCATTGCAAGTTCCTCAAAGCTTGTGGCTTTCAGGTTAGTCCAGTGCCGGCTCTAGTCAATTTGACGTCCTAGGTTAGATTTTAAATGTGCCGCCCAAATATACTCACACAAGAAACTAAATAGCTTTGCATTGATATTATATTTTACTTAAAAAGCAGGTTGTCCAATAAAAACAGATGACAACAAAATAATGAATTGTGAAATCCTCTTGTAGCCCTCTGTGTACACACACCCAGATTTTTCATGTAGATTAGCATCAAAATGAAATAAACAGCAAATAATATGGCAACATGTAGCCAGGGTGGTACGACAAGAATTACACACAGTGGGGAACAGGATTAATGAGATTAACTATAAATGCTGAGAACTGATACCCAGATGTCTGCTGATGTTATTTACTTATTTAAATAGTCTTGTTGTGGAAAATGTATGTGCGCTATGTTTTTTCAAACTGACATGTTAGTTTTTATTTCATGGCACAGAACAGACAGTACAGACATGTTGTTTCTTTCCTCTGCAGCTTGTTGCACCCAGACCACCGTGGAACCTTTCCAACTTTGCCTTTCCGCCAGGTGAGTTCCTAAATGTGTCCCTCGTTGTTTGCCGTTCCATAAACCCGTACGTGGCAATCAGAGAGTAGCACAGAGCTAACGAGGCTGCGGCAGCTCCCATCTTGCGACAGTTCATACTGAAACGACATCTTGTCGGATATTGTGAAGGACGGACGCAGGTTACAGTTCAACCTTTGTGACTCACCATTTGAGGCATGTTTACCGCGTCAGAGCTCGTCGTCTTGCTGGCAGTCCTGTCTGCTACCGCGTCCGGCTACTTCGTTAGCATAGACGCCCATGCCGAGGAGTGCTTCTACGAGCGGGTCAACTCCGGCACCAAGATGGGCCTCATGTTTGAGGTGGCCGAGGGAGGCTTCCTGGATATTGGTGTAGAGGTGAGGTGCTTTATCCCGGATCAGGAGGCCATAATAACCCTGTAACATCTGGGTCAGAAACTGCAACCAGGAAACACGGGGCCTGTGCTAAGCTAACGGGAGCGCTTCGCTTTTAATCCGTCCGTGCTAAAATGAATACTAAGTAGCTAAATTCATTTTACTCTTCAGCAAGGGATTAACATTTATACATCTACATATCGCCGATATTGTTTTTTTTCCTGACTGAAATTTAAGTACATTGACAAAGTAACTAGTAGTTCTCTGCTCATACTAGCTAAGCTAGCTAGTAACTAGCTTCGGTTAAGCTAGTTCGAAAAGCAGGAACTGTTTTCTAATCTGAGCATGCATCAGGATGTTTTCTAATCTGAGCATGCATCAGGATGTTTTCTAATCTGAGCATGCATCAGGATGTTTTCTAATCTGTTCAGTGACTTTAATTGAAAGAGCTCGAAGCGTCTGTAGATCAGCTGCTTATTGGAATCTGCCTCACTTCTTGGTCTTGTGACACTTGGTTGCTTCCATATGTTTTGGTTTCAACGCTTGAAACTTGAATTTATTATCAGCTCGTGTCAGATAATGCTTCAACATTTTACTGAATGTGAAGGTTCGACAAAGTCAATGACTTTTCTGTTTTGCCTTTTCTTGTAGGGCTGCAGTTAAAGCATGTGGTGGTGGAATCCATCTGCTTTGCTCATCTACCTCCAACTTGTTGTTTTACTGAAATGGTCACACTTTTGACGGTTATCGTTTTGTCCTTTCAGTCTTGTTGCTTTGGTAAGGACACCGCAGGCAGTACTGTTCCTAGGTGTTCTGGCCATGCAGTTCTCACATCATGATGATTTGATTGGTAAATGAATTACCATTGGTGAGAGTGTGAATGTCTCTGTGTCCCTGTGTCCCTGTGATGGGGACGTGTCCAGGGTGAACAACTCTCACAGTGACTGCTGAACAAACACCTGTGGCCCTGCAGACAAGCAGGTGAAGATGGATGGATGGATGCTCCATTACAGCTAGAGCTGTCTATTAATTATTAGCAGCCCTAATGTGGACAGGTTTATTATATATTAGATAAATGTTCTAGTTTAAACATAGTGAAAGATTCTTATAAATGAATTCATCTAGCCATTTCCTTTACCTGCTGTCCCATAAAGGGAGCTGGGCTCTTGTCCCCAGCAGTTTATTGGGTGGGAGGGGAAGAACACCCTGGACAGGTCTCCAGTCCATCACAGGGACACACTGAGACAAACGAGACAACCATTCATGCTCTCTCTCACACCGAGCAACAATTTAGTTACCAACAAACCTGCTTGCATGTTTTTGTTCTACTTGGGGAAACCAAAGGAACTGGAGAGAACCTGTCGAGCCACCACAGCCTCTGTGTGGAGCAGAGAGCTTCTATGGGGCGCCTGGGGGAGCAGATGGTGGGGGTTAAGGGCCTTGCTCAAGGGCCCAGAGTGCGACAAATGAGGGTGGGATGTTTCACCTTGCACACCCACATTTTGATGTCTGTACGGGGAGTTGAACCAGCGATCTTCCGATTACAGTCCCACCTTCTCTAACCTCTGCGCCACCACTCCCCTCTTGGTTTTGTAAAGATATAGATATAAAGATATATAGATATAAAGATATATAATGATGTAAATATAACGAATCCAAATGTCTTATCCGTGCCCATGGGTCATTGTGTTTTTAGTAAATTTCCAAGATTCTCATTGGGATGAGCTGTCTTTAACTGAGATCAGATTGTATTTGTTCAGGTCAGAGCTTGCTGCCTACATAGAAAGGTAACTAGTTAAGTTGTCTAAGTGCCTCTTTGTTCCCAGAAGTGGTTCGCTTCAGTTTGGCTCTTGCTAGATCAACATACACTGACCTCTTGGGAGCCGTCCGTCAGTTTAGAAACGCCACATATTTACTGATTCTCTCATTACGCCCCAGGCGGGGAGCATCAAAACAAAAAGAACACAAGAATGTGTCAGTAATTGTTGGATATTAAACTATTTAACCTGTCCGTTATGATTTAGGACTGTTGCCGGTTTAAAACTGGACTGTGCACACAGCTGCAAAGTGTTCTGAGGTCCAGTTTACTCAGGCCAAGTACTGCAGCAGAGACAGACTGAGTACAAATATGTGTCCTGCTGCTAATCCTGCCAGTCGGGATTTGAAGCTAAACCAGAGTTTCCATTTTAATGCTTTGACAAGAACTGATGCTGGGATGTACCGAGTCGTTTCTCTTTTCAGGCTCTTTTGTGTCAAAAGAAGCACTTTTTTTTAACATTTTAACATCTTTAATGCAACAATGTCCAGAAGCTTTCAACTGGAACCAGCAGGATTTTTAGCAGAAGACACATCATCAATATATTCATCAATCTTCAAGTTTGAGCTTTTACACTTTTCTATGTCACTCAATATTTGGCAAAGGTTAAACTAAATAAATTCAACCTTTATTCCTACAGATGAATCCCACTGAGCCTCGGGGACTCATGCACAAGAGACCTGAGGGGATTGAAAGGATCCTTTGTGCTTTTATATACAGGAGCCAGATGATGTTGGGAGTTGTCAGTTTTTCTCATTAAAAACAAAAAAAAAGGTTTTAATGAGAACTTGAATGAATTTTGTTCAGTTTCTTACCCAGATATTTTCTTTTCAGATAACGGGACCTGATGGGAAGCAGATCTATAAAGGCGACAGGGAGTCTAGTGGGAAATACTCAGTTGCTGCACACATGGACGGTACCTACAAGTTCTGCTTCAGCAACAAGATGTCGACCATGACACCCAAGATCGTCATGTTCACAATTGACATTGGAGAGGCACCTAAAGGCCAAGATATGGAGACCGAAGGTACTCAAAGAAAACGTATCCCTTGGTTTTCCTCCCTTTGCTGGATCGTGCCTAATTTGTGTCTTTCTGTTTTAGTTCTTTGCTTCTAGTTTTTCTTTGACTCCTTTGGGTGCTCTTCTCTCTATAGGTCACGACAGCTGGGATGGTAGGAAACGGCAGCTTATGACAAGTGCCATGTTTGATTCTGTGCTGCACCGTGGACTTTCTAACAGTTTTATTTTCATAGAGTGAACTAACTAGTTTTTACAACAATGGAGGGTTTATCCTGGGATGTGTTGCGCTGAAGATAAACCCTCTGATGATCTGACGGTGATCATGGACTGTACGAGCAGCTCTCAAACTGAAAATAAATGTCAGAGACAAAAAGATTAAACATGCATGTAAATAGCAGTACGTAATGTAACAAATTGAAGGAAATAAAAGAAGTAGAGCTCAGCCGTTATGGAAATTTTGGCTGTTGTCAAAACCGATATTGGGAGGGAAACCCTGATAATCGATATTGGATGAAAACTTTAGATCTTTGTCCACCCCCAAGAATCTAAATAAAAGCTACTTTAGAACCCGTTTTAACAATTGAAGTCTTGAAACCGTCTCTTCCTAACGTGCGTTCACATGTTCTATCCTCCACTATTCACCATAAAGTTATTAAGTGTTACAAAAAAATAAATGAAACAAAGTAGCACCTTCCTGTTCATTATTAAACAGTCACGTACGGTGAAGGTCTAATTATTATTGACCTCATCAGAGTTTATTTTTCTTTGTAGAGAAGTAAAGATTTCAGCCAAACAGTGCATTTCAATGAGAACGACAAAGATAACGTTACTAACACTATTTTACCTCTACGTTAGATTTGTTGTTCTGGATAAAGTTTTACAGACAATAGTCTATGCTAGGTTATCTAAACGTTAGCTTGCTAACTTGAGAGGCACGTAGCTAATGACGAGCAGGTTGGAGGATTGAAGAGAATTTATTGTTGATTTATTTTACACATCAGTTCAGATAAACTCACCATGCTCTGTTCAGTTCTACACAGTGTTGCTCCCTGCTTCGGCTGTGCTGAAAGTGAAACTTAAGGAATGACCAGTGAAAGTTGTCTTCATGCGCCCTCTGCTGGATACATCGTATAATTGTCTTGCTCAGTGTTTATATCTGAGCATAATAGGGCAGTTATCATTGATACAATATGTCCCCAAATGCCTACATTGGTCTAAAACATCAGCTCTGCCAAAATATTGTGTAATATTTCAGTTTACCAGACAAGTGAAGCCAGAGTAAGAAAATAATCCTGGTTGGTTTTCCATTTGAGTCTGAACTTTCCCTTCTACTGTTGGGCTCTCCTGACAGGTAAGTCTATACCAGCACAAAGGGCTGCTCCTCACCCCCCCTAATATTTCATCACGTATTGAACGTGCACGACACTGCAGGGCCTGCTCCACTTGATCTCTGACCTCCTGTTGAATAGCAACACAAACAAGAATTAATGATTGGTTTGGTTCAAAACAAAATGTTAAATATGAGCATTTAACAGGAGCAGTTTAAAGTTCTCAGCTGTAGACGTCTAAATAAGATACCAGGTATACAATAACAGCATTCTCACTAACAGCAGTAGTAACATCTGTTGAATGTGCGTTAAACTAAAGTGCACGGTGGCTTTTTATGAAAGCAGCTGAACGTGGCCTCGACTCTCCGCCCGCTCCACGCTCAGTGTCTGCTTCTCTGTTCAGAACGTTGCGTTGATGTTTTACTTCTGCAGCTGCTACTTCCAAAGAGCTCCTTGTGTTCTGTTGTTCCCTAAAGGTGCAACGAAGAGCTCTTGCACCTTTGAGCTTTTCAGTCAACTGAAGAAAAGCCCTAGAACCATTAGCTGTAGCTTTACGGCAACACTTCATCACTAAAGGTATAAATCGATGAGGCCCAGCAAAAGTTTCTTTACATGTTGATGACATGCTTTTGAACATATGAGCAGAATGAACGGACCACGCAGTCCTTCCAAACCTCTGCTGCTGGACATGGATTCAAACATGTCACTTGTTGTGGCCCCACTTGGCCACCACAAGTCACTGAAGCTTTGAATCTTCAAGCTTCATTAGCTTCACCTGCCAGTCACTAGGTGCTGCTGTCAACCTCATCCAGGCTTTGCTCTGAACTTTCCTGCTGTAGGGACGTCCACACACGCTGAAAGTGTTCAGATCTTTATACCATTTCATCTAGAAGCTCTAAACACTTGCTTGAATGTGTCCAGAAGGCTCCAAACAGAGCGGTGATGTATGTGCGCGCCCTCCACACACACAAAGCTGCCGTGCCGAATGCTCCGACAGTTAACATGTAGCATCACTTGCTAGGTGTGAAGATGTTCTGCCTGTACCCATGCATGCGTCCTTACGGAGGGATTGACTTGTCTGTTTCAGCCCATCAAAACAAACTGGAGGAGATGATCAATGAGCTGGCGGTTGCCATGACGGCGGTAAAGCACGAGCAGGAATACATGGAGGTCCGAGAGAGGATACACAGAGCAAGTAAGAGCGTGCCCTGAGGAGAATTCACGTGGATTAATGAAGTGTCTTCACCAACCGTCTGCTTGTCTCCCCCAGTCAACGACAACACGAACAGCAGGGTGGTCCTGTGGTCCTTTTTTGAAGCCCTGGTTCTGGTGGCCATGACGCTCGGACAGATTTACTACCTCAAGAGGTTTTTTGAAGTTCGACGAGTGGTGTAGAGTCGTGACCTTGGCTGTGTCCTCGACATGAAGACAGTAGTTTACACTCTGGAAGTGAGACCTGATTGGATTTCAGATGGTTTCTTCTCCCGTTACCACTTTAAGTCCTTTATGTGTTTTTGAAAAGATTTATTTTATTTTGGTTTTCTGATTAAAGAAGAGTTCATTGCCAGGTCAGCGTCGTCTGTGCAGTGACTGAAGCTTTTATTTAAAATAGACTTGAATGAAAGGGCGTGCACGGAGCCACCACAAGCAAACGTTGCTCTTTTAATATTTATCTCCAAACATTTTCAAACGTAAAGTGGTATCTGAATGAGATGTAGGGTTGCTGGTTCCACCTCCTGACGTCCCTTAGGACGTCCACGGCTTCTGGCATTTTTAAATTGGAAACTGCAACAGTCTGAGGGTCAGAGGTTAAACACTGAGGGTGCAGCTCCAGAGCGTAGATGAAGACCGCCTTTTGTGTTCAGGTTGATGGGGGGGGTGTGGGGGGGGGGGGGGCTGCTGTGGGTTTGTTGCTTCTGTGGTTTCTATGGTTCTGTCAGGGTTTGGGTTAAAACGATACTACTGTACACAAACAGAACCTTTTGTTCTGGATAGTTTTGTGATCTGCAGCTGTCTGGATGATATTTGTAATTCCTACATTAAAGGCGTTGCATGTCATGAAATACGATTCAGTTGTGTGGGAATAAAAAAACGTTCTTCTTTTCATCAGTTTCAAATCTGCTCAATGGCTCTGTTCAAACATGGCATGGTTGTGAAAAATGCTCCAGGTTTCATAATAAAGGCAATATTCTGTACAACAACACAGACTTGGTGTGTTTTAACAGCGACCACATTGTCATTACCAGGGGAAACATGGAAACTTCTAAGTATGTTAAATTATATATACTTATGAATATATCCAGAAAGTATTCAGTGCTTCTCTTTCCAGCCTTGTTCCAAATTGTATTAAATCTTTCCTCAAAATGCTACACACTCTACCCCGTTACGACAACGTGAAAAAACATTTGAGATTTTTGCTCATTAACACCTGAGGTCAAGGATTATGTAATTCATACTTTTGTTCCAGTTGTTCAAGGAGAAGTTGGCTCTTCTCCAGATCTGACTTAAGATAAATCCAGATGATTGCTCTAAACTTGAAATCACACTGACCGTGGTACAAGAGAACTGGCTGCGTGGGGTTTGGATTCATACCTGGATTATTGAGCATGAACTTTGGTGTTTTGATCATGGCTGCCTCAGAGGAGTTGACGGGGGAGGGTGGGCCCCAGAAACCATCTTGTCACCAGCAACTGTTTTTTTCCCACCATGGGAGTTGGTGCTTGTGGGACTCCAGTTTGTGGCTCCTCGGACAGAAGAAAACCTTTGGATGAAGGACGAAACATCTCGGCAAAGAAACAGTCCAGATGACCTGACTGACCTTTGTTGGCTGCAAGAAGAAACAAAAAACACTTTTCATTTAGTTGTGTCCAGCCTTAACGTGCTGTACAAAAATTAAACGACACATTCCATCCATCTTTAAACTGGTCTCTCATAAATGAGTCCTCGAGGCTCCATGAGACTAACCTGTAGAAATAAAGCTTGAATGAAGGGATCTACCCACTCCTTCCTTTTTGGATGCTGCGGGTCATTGGTGCACATGTCCAGCAGTCATTGTGTGAGGTGGGGGACGCCTGGACAGGTCTCCAGTCCATCACAGGGACACATGGAGACAAACGAGGCAACCATTCACTCTCTCTCACCTAGAGACTATAGAGTTACCAGTCTAACATGCATGTTGTTGGTCTGTGGGAGGAAACCCATGTACGTACAGAAAGAACATGCAAACAACCCAGAACGTTCCCAGCCAGGATTTGAACCGGTGACTCTCGCTGAGAGGCAGCAGCTCTACCAACTGCTCCACCGTGCCACAGTTAGAGAACTGTGTTAAAAAATAATAAATGTATATCTACCACACGATGAATGTAGTTTATTTGACAAGTTTGGAATTTAATGTAAATTATATTTTATTTCTAAATCCACCAAACTGCTGGTATCAGAATAATCCAGAAGTTTTGGGATCAGTTATCCCAATCCTAAAAAGTTTTGAACAATATAAACCGAGGGTTTGATCCAGATTAAAACTATGGTTGAATTACATGATCTAATCTGATTTCAGAAAACGTTCTTGGTTTTGAACAACTCATCTTCAAGATTTTATCCAATCCATCATCCAAAATCTGATCAGATTACCTTTAAACAACTGTCAGGACAAATACTGTGTCTTTCATGTGAGTTTGCTCGCTGTGAGGAACCCTGACTCAAATGTAAGTTTTTGGTTATTTCATTTTGAATGAATCATAGACAAAATACTTCCACATGTCAGATTAAATGACACTTTCATTCTGAAATATAAAAAAATCTTTATTTTTTTTCTTTTGAGTGACACCAATACACAGTTGGACATGTTCAATCACTCAAATTAAGGATAAAAAATAAAATAGGGCGAATATTATTGTTGTGGAACTATGAACGTGACAACTTGAGTTCTGACCGGACGGGTAAATCGATGCACCGGAAGTGGAAGCTGCGCGCAGTAGCTAGCCATGTGCTAACAGCGTTTCCAGGATGGAGAACACGACAGACGGGACGTGGGACAGTTTACCTGTCCAACTTAACGAGAGTATTTTAGAAACGCTCAGAGAGATGAGGTTCATCCACATGACTCCTGTTCAGGTATTTCACCGATTCAAAACGCAGCTTTTAACGCCGTTTCCTAACATTTGAATAAAGTTGTAGTTTCTGTTCTAGTCTGCTTGTATTCCGCTGTTCATGAGCAACAAGGATGTGGCTGCAGAAGCGGTGAGTGTTTGTAGTGTGCTCCGTTTCTCTTGGGGTTACGGGCGACAATGTTTTTGTAGCTTTCATGAAAATAAAAGTGGCTATAATTCAAGCGGTCTTCTGATGTTGAGCTAAATTTACTGCTAATGTGGTTGTAGCTGTCAAATTCAACACGTGTCTCGTGAGCGCGCACATCTTTCAAGACATTTAATGAGAGTTTGTTGCTTTTTCAACATGTAGTGATGAAAGTTGTGTTTTTGTGTCATCTCGTTCCAGGTGACCGGAAGTGGGAAAACATTAGCTTTCGTTATACCTGTTATAGAGCTGCTTTTGAAGAGAGAAGAAAAACTGAAAAAGAAGCAGGTGACAAACAAACTGGCTCCAATTTGAGCTTTGGGGCAGCTGTGGCTGAGAGTTGAGGGTTTGATTCCACCAGCAGCCACGTGTTGAAGTGTCCCTGGGCAAGACACTGAAGCCTCACTGTCTCTGATGTGCGTCCCATCGGTGTCTGGTTGAGATGAAGCTCTGACTATTCTTTGCAGAGATCTCGTACAGTGCTGTATGAATGTGTAGCGATGTGGAGTTTGGATTTAGAGAGCACGGTAAAGTGCAACATGGCTGTTGAGAACTCAAAGGTTCCAGCAGAGTCTTTGGAGAGACGAGACTGGAGCTTTTGGACGAGTCCCGTGAGTTCACAGAACCTAAAGTGGACCGTAGAAACTGAAGAAGCTGCACCTTCAGTGAAACCAGGTCCAGGTCTGTTCTGGGCCGCTGGGCCTCGTCTGGAATCTGCAGAATGAAATCCAGACTCCAGGTTTTCTGGAGCTACATGTGGTTTTTCTTAAACAGGAGGTTCATGTCTGCAGCAGGATTTTAGTTCCGGATGAGGATCCTGGGCTGGAAGGCAGCGACGTGCATTTCTTCTTTAATCTGTCCCGTTTCTTTCTGCAGGTCGGTGCTCTTGTGATTACTCCCACAAGAGAACTGGCTTTCCAAATCAGTGAAGTGATGGAGAAGTTCCTGCAGAAGTTCCCACAGTTCACGTGAGAGACATTTCCTCAGATTGTCCAGTAGCTTCAGTTGTTCAACGACTGCCTCATCAGAATTACTGGACTGTTTGTGAAGTTGCTGAGTGACTTCTCTGTTTTCAGGCAGATTTTATTGATCGGTGGGAGTAACCCTGTGGAGGATGTAGAGAAGTTCAAGGACCACGGGTGAGACATGGGTCTTTGTAAACTAGGTCTGCTCACAGTCGTCATCCGGTTCAAATGATCTTGTTCTATAAATAGAAGTGACCCTCAGGATGTGTGTTTCCAGGGGGAACATTGTGATTGCCACACCTGGTCGTCTGGAGGACATGTTCAGGAGGAAGTCCGAGGGTCTGGACTTGGCCAGTGCAGTCCGGAGTCTGGATGTTCTGGTTCTGGATGAGGCCGACAGACTGCTCGAGATGGGCTTTGAGGCCAGGTACGTGTCAGGAACTGTACGTCATCCTGTGTGTGTGCCTGTCGGACAACCGTCTCAAGAACCACTGAACAGACTAAACTGCAGGAAACGATCGTCTACAAACGATTTAAGGATTCTACAGCTGACCTTAGAACGCACGAGGTCCATGATTCGGTCTTTTTACAGACGCTGTGGTCAAATGTGACGTCATGAACTGCTCAGACTGCGAGCACATTGTTCCAGAGGCTGCAGCGGACGTGCTTCATCTAAAGTAGTTCTACATCTTGAAGACAAAGAAAGAGACCGTCCCGATGACCCAGTGTTGGACTTTATACCTGGATCACTGAGCATGACTTTAATCTGTTCCAGCACAGAGCTTCACGTGCACAAAAAGCTGTAATGTTGCTTCATTCACTGGACGCCTCAGTTTGGGACTGAGACGTTCTGACCGCCTTGGTCCATTCAGAAGACACATGGGGGGTCGTCAGAGACCGCCCACATGTGATGCACGTCTGCTGCTGAGCGAGGTCAGAGTCGGGCTGGTCGACGTGAAGAAAAAGAAACGCGGAGCTGCGGCTCAGTAATGTGATGAGCTGACGACCGTTCCGGCTCGTGGATTAAACGGATTGATGACCCAGGTCCTTCGTAGTTAGTTTGAATTCATAGGTGACCGCAGAGAGCATCTTCATGGTTTAGTAAATGACCCGAGGAGACGTCCGACACATTTCACGCTCCAGTCCTGAATTGTCCGTGTGTTTCAGTCTGAACAGCATCCTGAGCTACCTGCCCAAACAGAGACGCACCGGCTTGTTTTCAGCCACTCAGACGCAGGAGCTGGAGAAGCTGGTGAGGGCCGGCCTCAGAAACCCTGTGAGAATCACCGTCAAGGAGAAGGGCCAGGCTGCCGCCTCCACCCAGAGAACTCCCTCCAGGCTCTCCAACTACTACACTGTGAGCAGTGCAGGACCAAGAACCTGTTTCACATGAGCCAGCGCACAGAGCTGACGCAACAACTCGTTGTCTTTCAGATCTGTAGATCCGAGGACAAGTTCAACAACCTGGTGGCCTTTCTGAGGCAGCACAAACACGAGAAACATCTGGTGTTCTTCAGGTACGTCACCCTCAACGTTTCAACTCGTCTTTCTGCGTTAACCAAATCTCGCCGGACACACGTTCAGTGGTGCTGCAAAGTTGTAGAATTTTCTACAATTCTTCATAAGTTGGACCTAAAACATTTAACTGGTGAGCCTAAAGTGCACGTGTGCAATAATCGCGCTGCTCTTCAGCTTCTTGATCTTCCACAGATGGTCTCGGCTGAGGAGAAGAGCTCACCAACAGTTGCACTAACCTGTGAACATGTTGTGCACGTGCAACACGTGCTGGTTGTGAGTTCACCTCATGAACAGTGGGAGAGTGTTGAGTTCATGATTAGCTCAGAGTCTACCAGCAGGCAGCTGCAGACACAGCTAGTGTCAGTCTCTCCAAGCTTCAGGGTCTGGACTGAGCTCTGAGCTTGTTCCTCAGATCTGGATCAGGCCGCTGCAGTGGTTCCCAGCTGTGGTCCCTGAGGAACACCATCCTGCATGTTGTTTCTCTGCTCCAACACACCTGACGCACGGATTTAAGGAGTTCAGCGCCTGCAGGAGTCTGTTACTGACCCGATCCCAGCAGGAGGAGACAACCAAAACATGCAGGACGGTGTTCCTCAAGGACCAGGGTTTGGAAACCACAGTTCATGAGGGGCTGTTGATGCGTGAGACGGTGAGTCTGAGGCTTTCCTGGAACCATTCGAGGTGGTGCCGCCAGAACAAGTGTGGTGGTGCCGCCAGAACAAGTGTGGTGGAGCCGCCAGAACAAGTGTGGTGGTGTCGCCAGAACAAGTGTGGTGGTGCCGCCAGAACAAGTGTGGTGGAGCCGCCAGAACAAGTGTGGTGGTGTCACGTGACGTCACATCCCATGCATGAAGTGAAGGGGCTGTGTTCAAAGCAACGGTTTGAAACCAGTTTGGTGGTTGCCAGCGCTCGCTGCAGAGCACGGTATGAAGTGGTCGCGTCCTGAAACCAGTTTGGTGGTTGCCAGCGCTCGCTGCAGAGCACGGTACGAAGTGGTCGCGTCCTGAAACCAGTTTGGTGGTTGCCAGCGCTGAAACCAGTTTGGTGGTTGCCAGCGCTGGCTGCAGAGCACGGTACGAAGTGGTCGCGTCCTGAAACCAGTTTGGTGGTTTCCAGCGCTCGCTGCAGAGCACGGTACGAAGTGGTCGCGTCCTGAAAC